ATTCATGGTGGACATGCAACAAATGAAACCTTAGATTTGCTTTGATCCACGTGAGGATTGGATATCGTTGTTTCTATATGAGTGATTGAGTCGGTACCTTCTATTTATAGCTTTAGTATAGGTGGAGATGGACCTGTTTGGTACATCTTATAAGCTGCTTATGGCCAAAATAATATAAACGAAAAGCCAAATGGTATTCTCATGACGCTTCTCCTAACAGCACCAGTTTGTACTAAAACACAAAAGCTGAGTTAGACCTGCTTATTTTTGGCCGCCACTTTTCATTCATTTGTGCAACTTATCGAAGAAGCGCTTTTTGTAACCATACATGACCAATGTTATTTTGTTAATCTACTAAATATAGATTATAGCCATTGTGGGAGGGAGGCTGGGAGCACCACTTGTCCTAGTTGCTACACCGTGGTAAATGGACGCAACGGTGAAACACAGTACCATCACACATTTGTTGTATCAGGCTGAACTGAAAATCTGGTCCTTGATTCATCGAATATCCCCCAAAGTATTTCCATGCTCCTGACCATTAACTCCAGTACATGATCTTTCTCTGATAATTCCTTGTTGCAGCTCCCTCATACCTACCCCAATTTGATTTATACCAAGCATTCAAATGCTTACATCCTTGTTTACATTCAAGAAACAAACAAAGAGAAAAATTTATCTTTGATTTGGATGATGAAGACATACAACAACATCGACATACAACAACATCCACTTTCAATTTCCTCTAATACATCAATTCATAATCTCCCTCTCACATGGACATAAATTGGTTTCCGACTGAATGAATTCTTGTTCAAGGTGGTTGAATAGATGCAAATAAGTTCTATTTCATCACATATGTACTGTTCAAAATCCATGAAACAAGAAAGAGACATGTACAAATACCTCAAGGCACTATGGGTCGATATAAGGAGCAAGAGGCCAGAGGTAAAACGAAGTTTTTTTAGAAACATTATGTAAGGACCTTGACGTCGCCTAGAGGGGGATGAATAGGCATACCTAAAAATTCTTAAACACAGACTTGAAACAACGGATCAGTACACTGTCGGAAGTTCTGATAGTTGTCGAAACTTCTGACACCCAGAAGTTCTGATAGTTGTGGGAACTTCTGATAGTCGGAAGTTCTAACGCTTGTTGGAACTTCCGATAGTCAGAACTTCTGACGCCTATGGACTACAAAATCAGAGTCAAATTGACTTCAAATTTAAATCTACGAATTACCCCACTTCCTTATGGATAGATGAAGCTGTCCATGTACTACCTTGACCTTGGAGCGCCACCAATTTGTAGATCAGGACCAAAACCTAAGAAATAGCTCGAGGAAGAGAGAGAGACAACGAAGAACAAGTATAGAACAATACTAAAGCAAGAATACAAGAGAGACAAGGTGATTATCCCATGGTTCAGCTCACCATTAAGGCTCGCCTATGTCCACATTGATGAGGAAGCCACTAAGGCTTTGGTCTCTTTCAACCTTATCCTTGTTCTCAAGTCAAGATAATGAACTCTTGAGATGAGGGGTGATTTCACTAGATGATTGAGGATGATACAAACTTTCTAAGGTTCTCCCAAAATTGGGAAGCTCTTGGATGACACCTAGCCAGCTAGGGGCAAAACCCCAAGAGTAACAAACGCAAATCCAACCGGCTTAACAAAGAAATCAAGTGCCCAAGCTTTGAATCGATGTTTCTCTCACCAAATCCTTCTCTCAACTTAGTCTCTTCCAAGATTTGAAGCTAGGAGCAAAGAGGAGAGAAGAGAAGGTTATGGGAGCAAGGAGGCACTTCTTTGAAGTTTGGGGCGTGAGAGAGTGAGTGAGTAATGGTTAGAAATGAGGAGGGTGGTATTTATACCCAAAGGTAAAAATGACCGTTCCGATCTGCGTCGGAACTTCTGACACAGATCGCCAGAACTTCCAACACCTATGGTTATTCAAAATGTTAAGCAGAGTGCTGGTCAAGAAGTGTTGGAAGTTCTGATGCCTTTCAAAACTTCTGACAGCAGTTGAAACTTCCGACACTTGGAAGTTCTGACGATTGTTGGAATTTATGACAGTCAAAGGTCAGAAAACTAGTTCTAAGTGTTTGTGTAGTGCTAGAGTGTCTCTCAATTAATTTTAGTTAAATACTTGAGCACTCTATCTTCCTCAGACAGCTTAGATTGCATCCCTCTTTATAGTGCGGCATATCCTAAACTCAAGATCAAAAGAATATAATCATTTTAACCACTTGAGTCTTCACATGCCACTTCTTCTCAATATCACTTCATAAGGGGTTGCAATCAACTTTGACTCATCTCTTTGAGCAAACACAGCTTGAGCATGTGACATGAACCATTTCAACACATGTGAGTTCAATCCATGGCTTCAAGTCACTTCCACTAATGATTTGATCCTCAACACAATATGACTCCTCATGACTATATTAGTACCTCGACTCAATGCAAGTACTCTCTTCTTCACCTTAGCCATGGTAACTCGGTCTCCAAGCCATTGCTTGCCCTTCACCTTCGCTTCCTTGCTATCTTCACCCTATCGAGCTATACTCAAGTCACATCATATTAATCATCCATTGAAAAACCATTTCTTCAATATTATGATCCTTGCTTGAATATCTTCTTGATATGAATGTTGAGATCAATCAAGCTTCAATTTACAATAATACACAACTTTGGCCTTCATTTGAACATTATGTGCAATATCATCAGGTTTGCCTTCTCGTTGAACATATATACACTTCTAATTCCACGGTCCACAAGTGTATGTAATAAACTCAATTTTCTGTTCAACACTTAGCAAACTTGTTAGACCTTTAATGGTGTTGTCATTCAATTCACCAAAACCCAATAAAGGGCTAGATGTACTTACACATTATGAATTGCATAACTCATGAACAATTTGGCCGATCAGGTTGATTATTATATTAGTAATACGGGTGCATGCCATTTTCATGAAACATAGTCACGCTCTTAATGAAATATTTGCATGTCATGTTCTCAAAGGCGAACGATCCAGTTAAGTATTTCAATGCTCCTGATCATGCTAGTCAGTTGCATGCTCATGAATTGTGTCACTAACGACTAATGAATGCTACTCTTTGTGCTTTAATTATAGATTAGAATGGATCCACATCCACACGATGAGAGACATAGAGGGGCATTGTTTTGCCACTTGGCCATGTTTTGGAAGTCGGTAACGCTTGCTTGTTGGGCCTGCGGACTAGCCTAAACAACTTGCCACTGGCAAATGCGTACACATGGCCTTGTCTCTACCACGCACTGCTCCTCCCTCGTAGCCTCGCAGTACGTCTTTCCTCCCTCATAGCCAAGCAGTACGTCTGATCTGTACATCGCACATGCTGCTTTGGTGCTCCTCTCGGTGAGCGAGATGCGGGGGCCGACGTCCATGAAGACATGGAGCCAGCCACTGTGGGTGGGGCTAGGGGCAGCCACGTGGGTGCAGGTCGCGGGCGGCACCAGCTCCACGTTTGCGCTCTACTCGCACGCGCTCAAGGTCTCACTCGGCGCCCACCAAAGCCGCCTCGCGCTGCTCGGGGTCGTCTATGACGTCGACGAGAACCTCAGCCTCCTAGGGGTGCTCTATAACTGGCTCCACCCCGCGCTCCTCCTCCTGATCAGTGTCGGCGCGTGCCTCCTTGGGTATGGCATCGTGTGGCTCCTCATCATCGGCGTTGAGCTCCGCAACGACGAGCCTCTATTCGTCCAAGCAGTAAGGTGACATTGCGCTGGATGCGCATGTTGCAAGCATATGTTTCAAGTGTTTCAGATGTTTCGGAGATATGTTGCAAGTGTTTTAGTATCGATGTTACAAAAGTGGACCGGGATGTTGCACACATTGCAATAGGCTATACACGTATGTTTTAAGTGTCTGTTCTAAATGTTTCATCTGTTTCAAACGGATGTTGCAAGTGTTTTATTTGAATGTTACAAAATTAGATCGGGATGTTGCATATATATGCAGGTGTTTCGGGTGTTTTCATACGTATGTTGCAAGTGTTTTCATCTTGATATTAGCATATGTTTGTGCTACACACGTGTTTTCAAGTTTTTTCTGGTGTTTTGCAAGTGTTTCGTATGTTGCAAGTGTTTTAACTGTTTCAGACGTATGTTGCAAGTGTTTCATCTGGATGTTGTAAAAGTAGATCGGGTGTTGCCTATGTTGCAATGCGTGTGAGAAGTAGAGTGGTACAAGTGGTCCCTGCGTGCGGTCTGACGGTGCGTGGCCCGAGTCGACGCACAAAATGCAGGCTCAGACTGGATCATGCTGGGTTGAGCGCGGAAACTGAGTGCAGCGAGGACGTCTGGCTCAGGAGTACCTAATAACGGCCTTGCCTATGCTGTCAATACTAAATACTGACCTCAGGCTCTGCCCTGCTTAGCAAGTTCAACAATACGGCCCTGTTCGGCTTACCCCATATTCGGCTTGTTCGACTTTTTTTTAGTCGGAACAGTGTTTTTCTCTCACAACAATTCAGCTAGAACAGTCTTTTCAACCAGTTTCAGTCAAGTTTCAGACCAGCGAACAGGTACCTAATAACGGCCATGCCAGTTAATGGGACATTGTTGCTCATGAGTGGCCATGCCAGTTAGGGGGTGTTTGGTTGCCCCTCCTAAATTTTAGTCGCTGTCTCATCGGATGTTTGATACATGTATGAAGTATTAAATATAGACTAATTACAAAACTAATTACATAGTTTGCGACTAATTTGCGAGACGAATCTTTCGAGCCTAATTAGTCCATGACTTGATAATGTTTTGCTACATTAAGCATGTGCTAATGATGGCTTAATTAGTCTCAAAAAATTCGTGTCGTGAAGTACCAACGGATTATGTAATTTATTTTTTTATTAATATCCGAACATTTCATGCAATATCCTCTTGACATACCTCCTAAATTTTAGTAGCTCGATCCAAACACCCCTTTTAATGGGACATTGTTGCTCACGAGTAGTATTTTATATCTATCCCTGCCAGCTTTTGGTCGGTAAACCAGCAACGGACTGTATTGTCAGTCTTGGTCTGAAGGAAGCGAGAGGTATCTCGGTCAACTGGTGAAGCGACGTGTCAAGCGAGGAGCGCATCAGTCTGACTTGATGGACAGTGCTGGATTGCGAGAATGCGATTTTGTAAAATTTTTCAAGATTCATCGTCACATCGAATCTTTGACATATGCATGAAGCATTAAATATAAATAAAAAATAAAACTAATTACACAGTTTAGATAAAATTCACGAGATGAATCTTTTAAGCCTAATTAGATTATGATTGGACACTAATTGACAAATAATAACAAAACTGCTACAGTACGGTTTAGTTCGCAAAATTTTGTAAAATTTTTTAAGATTCATCGTCACATCGAATCTTTGACACATGCATGAAGCATTAAATATAAATAAAAAATAAAACTAATTACACAGTTTAGACAAAATTCACGAGATGAATCTTTTAAGCCTAATTAGATTATGATTGGACACTAATTGACAAATAATAACAAAACTGCTACAGTACCATTTCCTAAAAAAATTCACCAACTAAACAAGGCTTAACCAAGACAGAGTTCAAAGCACAAATGGGAATGGCAGGCAGCAACTGATTTACTTCACACAAGCATGGCGTCATGGCGACAAATTGAATGCGGGTCGATGGAGGATTGGGAGAATTGAAGCTTCCCTACAAAGCGAATGCGAATCTATCATCATCATCGTAGTTGACTGTCGTTCAAGAAACATCATGCATATTTTCAGTCGTCATTGAGGTCGATCTTCACCGTGTCCCAGGCTCGTTCGCTTAGATTGATCTCTAATCCCAAATTAGATCTTGTTGGACCTTTGATCTGCGCTCTGATCGGGGGCGTCCAGCCCACTATGGCTGGAGGGCCCCTGTCACATTGCGCAATATATAGAGGTGGGGGCCGGCGGCTCTGAGTACGAGGTTCGCCTGAGCCGAGTTCCCAACCGAAACCTAAACCCTAATCCCGATCAGAGAAAGGCGCCGCCGCTAGTCCGCTCAACGGCGGCGCGCTCACCCGCGTGGAGCGCGCGCGCTAGCGAGAGGGCCAGCAATGGCGCCATGCTCGCTCGGTCGCCGCCACTGCTCGTTGCGCTGAGAGCTGCTGCGCGCAAGAGAGAGAGCGTGAGAGAAGAATGAGTTAGGGTTTGGGGAGGACGCCGCGCCGGGCGTTTTTTGTTCGAGCGAAACGCGCGTGTGGCCGTCGGATTAAGATGGACGGCGGAGAGTAGCCGGACTGGAGGCCGGCCCAAGCGGGCGCGCGCGGCCGCGCGGCTTTGCTGGTCCAGGCCCAGGTTGTGGCCTGGGTGCAGGCAGCGCGAGTGTAAGGGAGCTGGGCCGGGTGGCTTTGTCGTTTTGGGCCGAGAAACAATATTGATTGAGCTCAGTTCTTTCCTTGTTTTTTGTTTTCCAGTAAATGTTTATTTCTAGAAAATGAAAAATGGCTCAAAGAAAATAGTAGAAATATGAATTTTCCTTGTGGGTAAAATTCACAAATTATGTTTAAGTTTCCGCTACTAAAGAAATTATTTATTTTCCAGTTATTTTGAATCAACGTGATATTTAATTGGAGAAAAAGAGATTTTGACATGATTATGATGTTGTTATTTTCTGACCAACGTTGTTAATAACAATATCATAATTTTAATGATTTTATGTATTATTTTTATTTCTGCCCAACGGTGATGTAGATTTAATGTATAAACAGTTGTATGTTTTAATTTTGACCAACGTTGGAATCAAGGCATGCAATTGTTGTTATTATTTTTGTTCTCACTCTATATGAATTGTGTTTTCAGGCGGATACAACTTGATGGGTTGTATAAAAAAGATCCCTACTCTCAAAGGTGACAACTACACGGAGTGAAAGAAAAAGATTGACCTGGCCTTCATCTTGGCTGAGGTGGACTGGATAGTCACCTCACCGTGTCCCACTAAGCCTGTGGCACCGATGAGGGAGACAAATGAGGCTGATGCCGCTTGGGCAATTAGAGAGAGGGATTTTGAATCCCCAAAAGATGTCCTATGATCTTGAGCATAGGAAGTGGGGTCACTGCCAATAAAAAATGTTTGGCTGTGATAAAGAACACGATTGAGCCTACAATTGTGGGCTTAATCCTAGAGTGTGACACGGTCACCGAGTACCTCGATAGAATAAAGAGTCAGTTCACTAGTTCTTCAAAGACATATGCTACCCAGCTGATAAAGCAGCTAGTGATAGAGAGGTACTATGGAAATAGTGGTATAAGAGAGCACATACTAAGGATGAGCAATTTAGCATCCGAGCTAAAACCAATGGATCTGGCTCTCAAGAAAAAGTTCCTTATCCATCTGATTTTTGCTTCATTGCCAAAGGAATTTGACACTTTTGTTGTCAACTACAACATACAGTCCGAGAAGTGAGACTTAGAGAGGCTCATGGCTATGTGTGTGCAAGAGGAGAGAGAATGAAAGCTGCCAATGGTGGCACTATCAATTATGTAAAAGACAACAAGAAAAAGAATAATAATGCTAACTCCTTATCAAAGTCAAAGGAAAAGGGTCCCATGCTACATCAGCCTCAGCAAAATAAGTTCACAGTAAAGAAAGACCAGTGTCTCTATTGCAAGAAGACGGGACATTATATGAAAGATTATCCCGATTATTTAAAGATGATCATAGCAAAGAAAGGTGAGAACATTATTACGTTCATAAATGAACCCCTGTATGTACAATATTCGAAATCTACTTGGTGGATTGACTCAGGTGCAACTATTCATGTTGCTAATTTCTTACAGAGATTCCGTTCGACGAGGACTACGCAAAGAAGAGAAAGACACATTAAAGTCACAAATGGAGTCCGAGTAGATGTCAAAGCCGTTGGCGATCTTTCTCTAGAGCTTGCTGATAGCTTCACACTTTTACTTAGAGATGTACTTTATGTTCCCTCTTTACAGAGAAACTTGATTAGTGTTTCATGCTTGGACAATGATGGATATGATTGCCATTTTCGAAATAACAAATGTAAGATAACATTTAACAATGCATGTGTTGGTCTTGCTATCTTACAAAATGAGCTTTATTTGTTATCACTACATGATGATGTGAATGTTGTATGCGATGATGAGAACGTTGCGTGCGACAATGAGAATGTATCCTCGTCTGCGGATGTAAACAGAAAACGAAAGAGAGCTCACGATACGTCGTCGAAATTATGGTACTGTCGTTTAGGCCATATTTTGAGGGGGAGAATAGAAAGACTAGTTAAGAATGACATTCTTCCTCCATTAGAGTTCTCCGATTTAGAACAATGCAGAGAATGCATAAAAGGAAAGTATGTAAAGAAAATTAAGAAAGATATCAAACGAAGCGCAGGAATTTTACAGATTATTCACACATACATTTGTGGTCCATTTCCTGTAAAGAGTGTGGATGGTTATGATTCATTCATAACATTCACAGATAATTATTCCCGTTATGGCTATATTTATCAATCAAAGAAAGAATAGAAGCATTAGATAAATTTAAGATATTTAAGGCAGAAGTTGAAAACCAACACAATTTAAAGATTAAGATAGTCAGGTCCGACCGTGGGGGGGAGTACTATGGTCGGCATACCCCATATGGCCAAGTTCCTGGACCTTTTGCAAGGTTCTTACAGGAGAATGTCATAGTAGCCCAGTATTCTACACCGGGCGAACCTCAGCAGAATGGAGTAGCTGAAAGACGCAATCATACCCTGATGGATATGGTGCGTAGTATGATAAGTTACATGAGGGGGAGAAACAACAGCCTCAAACAGAAGATGTGCCAAATGTGGAGGCCCCTAGAAGGTCTCAAAGAGTTAGAAAATCAGCTATTCCTGCTGACTATGAAGTATACAATACTGAGAAATTTCAAATGGAGAATGATCCCACCTCATTTGAAGAAGTCATGAGAAGTGATCATTCATCAAAGTGGCTTGAGGCCGTGGAAGATGAAATGAAATCTATGAATGCCAATGAAGTTTAGGACTTGGAAATAATTTCAAAAGAAACCAAAACAGTAGGCTGTAAATAGGTCTATAAAATAAAACTTGACACTCAAGGGAATATAGAGAGATATAAAGTGTGACTTGTGGCAAAAGGCTTTACGTAAAGAGAAGGAATTGATTACAATGATACATTTTCTCTAGTCCCATGAAATGATTCCTTCAGAATCATAATGGCATTAGTGGTACATTACGATTTAGAATTACATCAGATGAATCTATAGATGACATTTCTCAACGGAGACTTGAAGGAAAATGTTTACATGGCACAACCGAAAGGTTTTGTCATAGAAGGAAAAGAACGAATGGGATGCCGCCTAAAAAAATCCATTTATGGATTAATACAAGCTTCAAAACAATGGTACTTGAAGCTTGATCAGATAATAAGAAATTTTGGGTTTAAAGATAATTTAGAGGATAATTGTGTCTATGCAAAGTTTAAGAATGGAAAGTTTATCTTCCTTGTCCTGTATGTGGATGATATCTTACTTGCTAGTAGTGATGTCAGTTTACTACTGGAGATAAAGAAGTTTTTGTCCTCAAAATTTAATATGAAAGATCTTGGTGAAGCTTCGTTCGTTCTAGGAATCGAGATTCACCGAGATAGAAGTAAAGGGGTATTAGAATTGTCACAAAAGGCATACATAGAAAAGATCTTAAAGAAATTCAATATGCACAAATGTAGTACCTCACCTGTTCCTATAGTCAAGGGCGACAGATATGGGGATGTTCAATGCTTTAGGAATCAGTATCAGATCGATTAAATGAAAACGGTTCCATATGCTTTAGCTATCGAAAGCTTGCAATATGCTTAAGTTTGTACGCGCCCTGACTTGGCATTTGTTACCGGGTTACTAGGTAGATTCTAGAGCAATCCTGCAACAGAACCCTGAAAATTAGTAAAGAAAGTTTTGCGTTATTTGTAAGGAACGAAAAGCGTCATGATGACGTATAGAAGATCAGATTCACTCCATATAGTGGGATATTCAGATTCTGATTATGCGGGAGATGATAGAAAATTCACGTCTGGATATGTATTCGCTCTCGCAGGGGAGCTATTTCATGGAAAAGCTCAAAGCAAACCGTCACTACATCATCCACAATGTATGCCATGTTTGTAGCGTGTTATGAGGCAACGGGGTAGGTGAACTGGCTAAAGAAGTTCATACCCGGTTTGAAGGTGGTTAACGACATCTATAGACCACTTAAGTTATACTGCGATAATAATCTGGCAGTACAGTATGCTCACAACAATAAGTCAAGTGGTGTTGCCGAACACATTGACATAAAGTATTATGTTGTGAAAGATAAAGTCCGGGATCGTGTCATAAGTCTTGAGCATATAAGTATCGAAAAGATGCTCGCGGATCCACTTACAAAAGGCTTACCACCCCACGTGTTCAGAGAACATGTAGCCGGTATGGGTTTAAGGGAAAGCCTATAATTTCTGGACAAAAGAAGGCCCTAAGTTAAGTATCTATTTCAGAACAGAGTGGTGTGTTGTAGTTGTTAAATCTATCGGCAATTGACCGTGACGATGAAACATACTCTATGCGTTAATCTGAATTGGAATAAACAAAAGTAAATGATATGAAATTGAAAGATGGTAGGAGGTCAAGGGGGAGATTGTTAGATTGATCTTTAATCCCAAACTAGGCCCAACGGCCTAGTTGGGCCTTGGATCCGCGCCTTGATCGGGGACGCCTAGCCCACTATGGCTGGAGGGCCCCTGTCACACTGCGCAATATATAGAGGTAGAGGCATGCGGCTCTGAGTACGAGGTTCGCCTAAGCCGAGCTTCCCACCGAAACCTAAACCCTAATCCCGATCAAAAAGGGGCGCAGCCAGTGATGGGAAGCCACCAGCCACGCCGCGCCGCCCCGCTCCATCGACGTCGACGACTTCATTGATCTTTTCCCGAACATCGCTGCCCGTGCGCAGACTTCACCGACAAACGAGATGACGGTTTCTGGACCATCTCCCTCCGCGGTGTCAATTCAACATGTTCTTCTATTCCTCTCTATCCCTCTATTCTCGATATCACATTCACGTTATAGAGAACCCTGGATGATATTTTCCAACTGGATGATATTTTCGATCAAAACACGTTCCCCTCTGGCGAACCTCTCGAACAGCAAAGCTTTGGGAACGATGGGCACGTCGTACCAGACGCCGCTGCCGTCGTTGGGTTTCTGCACCTGGAGCCCGCTGACGGCGTCGTCGATGAGGACGACGGTGATCACCGAGGCGTCGGAGTGGGGTTTCAGGCCGAAGACGAGGTCCGGCTCGGGGCATCGCGGGTAGTAGTTGAACCTGGCGTGCGTCATGGCGACGCCCTCGTCCATCATGACGACGAAGCGGCCCTCGTGCAGGCCCAGCAGCCTGGCGATCTCCCAGCACCTGGCGGTGTACTCGCGCAGGACGTCGCAGAAGGCAGGAGGCTGCGCCGGCCAGAGGCTCCGGATGATCCGGGACTCCGGCTCCACCGTCAGGTAGAGCCTGTCGCACCAGTCCAGGACCTGGTCCTCCGACAGCACCATGTCGTTGCCGTACCCTTCGAACCTGAACTCCTTGCCGTTCGTCAGGTTGGAGTACTTCTGGTTCTCGTCGAGCGGGAGATTGAAGAATCCCCTTGTCACTCCCATCATCTTGGCGAGAAATTCTGGATCCATCCCATGCCCGACTGCCTGGACAGAGACACAGAGTCTGAGGTTGGTCGGACTGTGGAAACAAGAAGAAAAGAGAGCTTTAATTTATTATTACCAGGAAGAGGCCCCAATTCTGCAGGGCGGAAAGGAGCTTGGCGGCCTCGTCGTCGGCGCCGTCGTTTGCGGACAGCCGGCTGAGCCTGAGGTCAACGATGGGAAGGGCTCGGGCATGGCGGCAGCGGCTACGGCGGGACGATCTTGCTCGCCGACGACGTATCGGCTCGGTGGCTCCTGCACGCCGGCGGCCAGCTCCTGAATGATCGGTGGTATCTTCCATGGTTGGTCGTCGGCCATGGTTGCTTTGCTTGCTTGCTAGTGGACACTAGACTACTAGAGTCGTTGGTCGTCAGTCGTAACCTACCGTGTCCGTGTCCATAAATCCATTACCTCGATTTTGCTGGGTTTTTTTTTAAGGCGGATAAGGCGCGATTTTGCTGGGATATTTTTTTAGGCGGATAAGCCGCGACCCGTCGCGCGAGACCCCAGGCGCGTAGCGCGTGACCCCAGGCACCAGCTACGCCGACATGATACGACCTCTAGGCCCTTATATTTAGTTCCCTTCCACAATGGATAGGATACCAAAATTTTCATAAATATTTTTGATTATTCAATCGAATCTTTGGATGTTGCATATAACTGGGATACGACAGATTAAATATAAATAAAAAATAAAACTAATTACACAGTTTCACCCCAGACACAAATCCACGAGACTCGGATCTTTTAAGCTACTAATTATACTATAATTAGAAACACTAAAGCAAAGTATCAAATAATAACAATGTTAATCCGTTTTGAATTCCGTTTTTGAATGTTGTATCCGTTTTGAATTCCGCTCTGCTACAATATTGCATATGTTTCTATAAATTTTATTATAATAGCGATTTATGTGTAAATATGTGGTAGGAAACAAAGAAGTTACTACCATGAAATGCTAGACACATACAGCTGTCCCAAGCACACGTGAAACTCAGGGTTTTTTTTTCGTTTAGTCGCTAACCCTAAAAATTAACGTCACATCAAGAAAATTTATATACAAATATGAAAATAAAATATAAGATTAATTAAAAAACAAATTATATAAATGGATTATAAAAAGTGAGGATACATGACTTGCTTCTTACGAGATTAAAAAAATTTTTAGCCCAATTAATCCGGTAAATTATTAGAACACGCATATCATAGCAGCACAACTATCAAATTATTATAAAACCCACTATATAAGCTTAAAAATGACTTCGCCTCGTAATTGGAGGATATTTATTAAAAGACAAGTTACCAATAATTAAGATATATTTAATATCCTATAGGCTATTATTAGATGATGATATTGCATAAGGTGCCAACCTTTAGAGGGTGTTTACACAATTTCAGAGGCTCAAGAGCTCCCGAATCCTGTCGAGACACGCGTGTGAGATCCCGCTTCCGCCCAGCATGCTACTACACTGACGTCAGCCTGACGCAAAACAAAAAAAAACAAAATATTTTTTTTCAATTGCTATAACTTTTTGAACGTTTTACCCGTTTTCAATCCTGTTTGCACCCCAGTTGCATATGTTTTGATAAATTTTATTTTAATAGCGAATTGTGTAAATATGTGCTAGGAGATTTATCAAAGAAGTTACTACCATGAAATGCTAAAGTTGCTACTCCAAAAATATACTGAAGTTATTACATAATATACACATCGATTGTTACCATGTGAATATACTAATTTTTTTTGTATTGTTTACATAAAGGTACTAACCCCTAAAGAGAGTAACTGACCAAAACAAGACAAACTGTAATCTAGAGGGACAAATTATGAAAATAAACATTGCATAAGCTGTCAATTAAAGAAACAAGTTATTATAAAACATATTATAAAAAGTTAGGATACATGACTTGCTGCCAACTGGGACATTTATTAAAAAAATGAGGGTAGCGATACAAAACAAGACAAGTTATAGCTTGGGGGCAAATTATTAGAATACACATCGTATAAGCTGCCAACTAGAGGGACACGTTATTATAAAAACACTATATAAGTCGGAAAACATGACTAGCTGAAAATTGGAGGGACATTTATTAAAAAGACAAGAGTACCAACCCAAAATAAGATAAGCTGCACTTTAAGGGGTTAATTATTAGATGATGAAGTATTGCATAAGGTGCCAATAAATTATTATACAACTAATATGTAGGATTTAGGAATGCATTCAGACCTAAAAGGGTGACTGAGAACCAGAAACTAAAAACATTAAAAAAACATGACTGAAAACTAGGACTAAAAAAACTGAAAAAAATTGACCAACAACTAAAACTGGGGGTAAATTCTTTTGTGGCAACTTATGTGTATAATGGTTATCCTTTTGTAACAACTTATACATTATAGGTGGGGCAACTAATATCTAGGATTTAGGAAGACATTCAACCTAAAAGATTGATTGAAATATGAAACTAACAACAAAAAAACTTGAATGAAAAATGAAACTAAAAACAAAAAAAAACTAGACTGAAAACTAAAACTAAAAAAATTAAAACAACATTACTGAAAACTCAAACTAAAAAAACTGAAAAATAACTTGACTGAAAACTAAAACTGGGGATAATTTCTTTTGTGTCAACTTATGTGTATAATGGCTATATTTTTATAACAACTTATACATTGTAGGTGAGGCAACTAATATGCTGGATTTAGGAACACAATCAAACTTAAAAAGGTCACTGAAATCTAAAACTAAAAATTAAAAAACACAAGACTGAAAAATGAAATTCAAACTTATTAAACTGAAAGGAAAAATGAAACAAAAAACAAAGACTGAAAGAAATAATGAAAATCATGTCTCAGTAAACGGAAAGGGTGACTGAAAAAATATATGCTCTGATATAAATATAAAATAAAAAAAAAAAAACAGCATTGATGCAAACGTTGGTGGTCGCTCCTTGGCTCGTGAAAAAATACTGATATGCCTCCACTTTAGTTGGACCAAGAACTACTATATACTACATCGTATACATACGGGCCACCTGATGGCCCAGGAAGGCCGCCCTGTGCCCGTCCGCCCCAAGGGCCGGGCCTGTTGCGCGAAAGGATACTGGAAGCGCGATAGACTCGCCTTTTTTAAGTGGAATTTTCTGTTTTTTAATTAACTGGCAGTCTGACACTTTGCGCTTGATCAAAGCCCACCACTGCCGAAGCTGGGCTTCGTTGGTCATTGGGCCCAAAGTGTAGTTGCCCGGTAATTAGGCCCGAAGCTTTGTCATTGTTTGGTAGACTCTAACCTCACCTTCAGGACATAACATTTTGTACTGGACTGATTGCAAAACTTTGTGCACATTTGCAGCTTACCTGTTGTGTTTCAAGTCAAAGCTCATGGTTTTTGCAGCTTACTTTGTGTTCCAACGTTCAGTAATTTGTTGGTATTATCGATAGGCACATCGCTAGCACCAACCATTAAAAAATAGTGTCATTTCTTTTAGAATAATTTTAGCAAAATATCGTTGTAAGTCAAGAACTTGAACTCAGTTAACAGAAGGTGGGATCATTAGTTTACAGTATGCCGATGATATGTTGCGCTGTTTCTTGAAAACAATTTGGAAAAAGCAAGCACTCTTAAGGGGTTGCATTCTTGTCTGCTTTGAACAAATGTCTGGCATGAAGATTAGCTATGACAAAAGTGACCTATTTACTATTGGGCTAGAGGAAGATAGAGCTAATGATTTTGCTAAGGTGTTTTGCTGTAAGAAAAGTAACTTCCCTATCAAATATCTTGGAGTTCCTCTTCATTTTACTAAGCTGACAAGAAATGACCTACAACCTGTTACTGACAAAATTATCAAAAGAATAGCTGGGTAGAGGGGAAGATTGCTTTCGTATGCTCGTAGGCTCACCCTTCTTAAGGCTTGTTTGGCAAGCATCCCCATTTACTTGATGTCTATTATTAAGTTTCCAAAATGGGTTATACGAATGATAAACTCCCATATGGGACATTCCCTGTAGAATAACGCTGAGGATAGTCATAAATATCATTTGGCTAGCTGGCAATTGATTGCACAAAAGAAAGAGGCTGGTGGTCTAGGTATTCATGACTTGAGAAGTTTAAATTTAGCTTTATTGAGCTCTTGGATTTTTTTAGATATCAGCAATTTGTTGGTATTATCGATAGGCACATCGCTAGCACCAACCATTAAAAAAATAGTGTCATTTCTTTTAGAATAATTTTAGCAAAATACCGTTGTAAGTCAAGAACTTGAACTCAGTTATACAAATTCCACAATAAGTAATCTAACAAACTGAGATACCCTCGGTTCGCATTTTATCCATAAGTTTAAGAAAACGTTGTTCTGTGTCGTTCAGTCATAAAACTGGTTCTAGCTTTCACACGGCGTTACGAAAAAGGTTTCTATATGCCCACACATTGCAAGATGCTGCCTGAACGTTGTTCCTCTGAGGGACCAAGGTTGCCTCGACACCGGCGAGTAAGAATCAAATGCTTAGCTTGAGCTTCTGGCGCAGCAATGGCCAGCCTTTCCATCTTTCAGGCATTCAGATATGCCAAAGGTTCACGAAATAGAATGTTCAGGAACGACGGCAAAGAGCGAATAAGCTGGTGCTCGCTTTGCTTCAAGGGCGAGCAAAGGCTAAAGGAGAGTTGCATTGAGGAGGCGAGCATCTCTCATCTTTGCAGCTAGATAAGATAGCCCACCTATAAGTAAACCACGCATATCGCATAGACGCAGGTGCACTGCTGCAGACGTGCATCTATCGTCACCTCATAGGCGTATGTCACAGACTGATCGATCAGGAGGAGATCGAGAGAGTTGTGAAGACGAAGCAGCAGCTGCAAGGAGAGCGGCGCCATGGCGGAGACGGCGCTTGGCATGGCTACCACACTGGTGGGCAGCGCGCTCGGCGTCGCCTTGTCAGCGGCAAGGGAGGAGATGGGCCTACTGCTCGGGGTGCAGGACGATATCTGGTACATCCTCTATATATCTCCTTTTGTTCTCCGTAGCATTAAGAGGTACACGTGTACGTATAAGATTCAAAATTCATAATTTTGGCAGGCAATTAATATCAAGAAATTTGTAGATTTGGGATAAAACTGAAGCTGTACAACTGGATTATTTAATTTGAAATTGTTTCCCTATATGTTATAGAGGGTATTTTAGTAATTGAGGGTATCACATGCTAGCCTGCCTAAACCTTCTCCGCATGCATGCAGTATACATTATACGCCACCAAGCCTTCGGAAATCAGCTAGGTCGGCATGCATGCATAAATTGGAGGCTGCCATATTTGTTTGCTATAAGAGACCCAGCGATCACTAATAGTTGTGTCACGTATGTTCCCGTATGTGCGTCACGGATTCACGGATTCTCATGTACCACATTGTATGTAGCACCATCATATATGTCACATTAAAAAAATGTTACACACTAACCGTGCACATTAGCACCATCATATATGTCACATTAAAAAAATGTTACTCTAACTATGCACATTAGCAGCAGCATATATGTCACATTAAAAAAATGTTACACACTAACCGTGCACATTAGCACCATCATATATGTCACATTAAAAAAATGTTACTCTAACTATGCACATTAGCACCATCATATATGTCACATTAAAAAATGTTACACACTAACTATGCACATTAGCACCATTGTATCAGTCACATAAAAAAGTCACATTAAAAAAACTGCAAAATATTTGCCTAATCCTATTTTTGCCCTTGAATGACAGTAGTAAAATGACTAATTTACCTTTATTCAAAAATAAAATATAAAATAAAAATAGATCTTGCCCCACATATTTTTGGTACTGGTCCCATCTAATTTGGTACTATCCTCACCTATTTGGTATCTCCAAGTACTTTCAGTTGGGTACCTTCTATTTTTCCACCGTTCGATCTCGTCCAATGAATGACTCATTTTTTTCAACCATTGTAAAATTTCTCAATGTAACATCTAGTTTCAGTTTAAACTACATCAAGTTAATTATGCATACATTTAATTTGAAATGAATAGAGTACCTACTACTCCCTTTGTCCCACAAAGAATGTCATTCTTATTTCCCGAGAAGTCAAACAATCTCAATTTTGAACAAATACAAAAAAAACAATAATATTTATGGTGCATAAATAGTATCGTTAGATGATTCGCTGAATATATTTTTATAATAAACTTATTTGGAAATACAAATGTTGCTACTATTTTTTATAAATCTAGTTAAACTTAAAAAAAAATAACCCGCATGAACTCCATAGCGTCATTCTTTATGGTATGGAGTGAGTATGTGTTTTTTACTCGTTTTAAGTTCTTCATTTTGCATGATGATATTTCTATGTAATCTTGAAGTCCTTTATTTTTTATTTTTTACATCTTCCCATGTACATTACTATAGGATGGTCTTGTTGTCCCGGGTGGTAACGGCCTTTAGTCCCAGTTACCACACCGGGACAACGATCCCGGGACTAAAGGTGGAACCTTCAGTCCCAGGTCATCGAGCCGGGACTAAAGAGGGATCTTTAGTCTCGGTTGGTGTTACCAACAGGGACTAAATGCCCTCCAGCCGAGCAAACGTGGCCACACCCTTTAGTCCCGGTTGGTAACCCCAACCGGGACTAAAGGTTCCTTTTCTTTTTCTTTTTTTTTATTTAATTTGTTTTCAGATCAGTTACACATATTTATTTAATATATAATATACTTTTATGTACGTATTCTACGCTGCTAATATAAATACACGCGCGCATATAATTACATCTATTTCTCATCTCGAGCATTATTATATTCGAATAAAGTATGAAACTATATATATTATAGATATATATATATACAACATTTTCATAATCTTGTTCTCGAAAATAACGATATCAATAAACATTTAATTTATATCATTTATTCCTTAGGATCAAAGTACAACTCGTCGTTGGGATTTAGCACTTTTTAGAAGAAATCCTGCTATTGACTCTTGAACTGCTTTCAGATGGTCTTTTTGCAAGACCCTTTGTTTCAATCATTCAGTCTTGCATTTGAAATAAAAGGAAAAGTATTAATACATATATATATATATTCATTTAAAAAGAAATAAAAAATTGATATATACGTACTCTGAGGACATCTTTAGGAGTTCTTCTTATGTGCGTAGTGATAAATTCACAAACGTAGTATCCGCACAAGTTATTACCTGGTTGCTGCCGCAAACACCACTATACGAGAAGAAGATTATTCTCATCATCTCACACGTAAATTGAAGTACGATATAGTAATTAAACACATGGGGAAGTATATATAGTACAACTTACTGGTATTTCAACTACATTAAGTGGTGCCTTACAATCCTTGCGGTGTTGCCGAATAAACTCTTTCCAAACCCTGTGCGACCAATAATGTACGATCGTTAATAAATTATGACAAAGTCTATTCAATAATAGTTGTGCGCGAGAGATCGAAATTACCCCTGGATAATGTTTATCATATCTTGGTATAGTACCCGTTCTTTTCTCTTCGAGTCCAAGATTGCTAACCGACTTGAGTTTAACTCAATGACAATGAGTATTCAGTGAAACCTACATTGGTTTATACACACACGTACATGCATATAAGTTGTATTGATATTACATAAAATGTGTAGACTACATTATTATTAACACTTACTCAAAGCTGTACGGGAAAAGTATTGTTGTCTTGTCGTGCTGCTTCACGAAGAACCTCATGATATTCTTCTGTGCTTCAGATACCAACTACTCATTAGGAATAATATTGGTTTTAAATACAATATAAGGATCAATGAAGCCAACACTGGTGTCTTGTATTCTTTGGAGCTCTAACATCTGGAATCTATATATAAATATAAGTTACATGTGAGGATAATTATATACACGTATGCATGGAAGTGAGTTTATTAAATAAAAGTAAGAATCACTTACAAACAAAAGGAGCTAATGATTGATTTGTCCAGAGCGTCCATGTGGCATAGTTGATGCAATTCTTCGAAACTAATATGTAAGATGTCATCGTCACGGAAGTAATGATGGTCTCTAAATCTGACAAAGATCTACTCCTCACCCCTGCCACACGCCTGCATGTACCACTTGTTGAGCAAGTATATTTGCGTACCCAATTAATTCAGAGCCGCAGGGTTGTACAAACTTTTGTCAAATTTATAAGTCTTCCAGGTATCAACTTCTAGGTTCTAGATTGGAGCTTTGCTCATCAATTGATCCAAGGTTAAACCAGTATCTTTAAAAAAAGCATTAAGGTCTTGAACCGACACTTCTCTAGAGTTGTCTGGTCGATAGACTTCTATGTTGGAACCATATTCATTAGTAACAACAAGATTTTGCATTAATTGATTATGTTGTCCGAGCTGTGGGACATCCTTCCCTGATGCTCTTTTCTTTTTCTTATCTGCATCATGTGACTTCATAAGGGAGCGGTCATAGTCTGATAGTGGCAAAGGCTTACGAAGTTCAAGCATCTTTTTCTTGTGATCTTCGACCTTCTGCCTCAACAGATCTCGTGGTATGTAAAAGTATGGCTTCTCCTTAAGCTTCGCTTGTCTATGCTTTTTGATATCTATAAAAAAATCTTTCACTTTTTTGTCTTCTTCAGCTGCTATTTGCTCATCAGTCTTTTCTGGAAGTATTTCTTGAGAAATAACTCTTTTTTTTGGGGTCTTCTTTGCCGCCGGGACCTTAGACGTCTCTGTAGTGCAACGCTATGGAGGGGGTGGGGGCGGTGTTGGAGACCGGCATGGAGGCGATGAGGCCGGTGTTGGAGACCGGCGTGGAGGCGTTGGAGATCGTTGTGGAGGCGGTGGGGCCGGTGTAGGAGTTGGAGATCGTTGTGGAGGCGATGGGGCCAGTGTAGGAGTTGGAGATCGCCGTGGGGATGAAGTCGTCTCGCCCCCCGCGACGCTGTGATGAGATGGGGAATGAATGATTGGTCTAGGCTGGGGGGAGACCCTGCTACAAAAATAAGTTGTGAGTCAATTATTTTTGAAGCTAATATAAAATTAATGGAAAATAATATTTCATTCACTTTCATTCGTACCTAGGGTGAGGTAGGGGAAGCGTCCCAGGAATGATGATGAAGCGTTTGCGGCATTGAATAAATGTCTTCTCTGCTTCTCCTAGTGTCTTCTCCCCATCACCACCTTCAATGTCAAGAGGAACATTGCTGTAACCTTTGAGCACTCTATCGACCGAGACGCTAGCATATCCAGGTTGAATAACTGACCCATGGATTCTTGGTGTCTTCGTTCGGTCTATTGGAGATACAACCCCGACAGCCACCATGATTGATGCATTATTACCATCTAGAATGTGCAGCTCACATGTTGTTAGAGGCTCGGTAATGTCATCAATAGCGAAGCGCAACCCAGCGTTATCTTGAATAACTAGCAGCTCCGTGGAAGCACAACTGCTTTTCATCTGACCAACGGGGCTAATGGTGACTCCCGGCGTTGATTGCGATTGCATTTGACTCATTGCTAGCTGCACTTGCCTCTTGATCTCCTCCTGCATTCATGCCTCAAGAGATTTTTCTCGTTCATGTGATTCAAGCAATGCTTGTCGTGACTCATTAACAAATTGCTCCAATACACGGATTCGGTCTGCCTCCTCATCCTTCTTTCTCTAACGACTTCTGTAGGTATCCTTGTCTGCTGGAAATGCTTGTAGCCACAGAACCGCCCCATAGCCTCTTGTTCGACCACCGTGTTCGGGATTCTCTAGGGCATATGTCAATTCATCCTTCTCTCTGTTGGGCTTGAAAACACCGCTATCAGCTTCTTCCCTAGCATGAACTAGTCCCTGTGTTGCTCTCTCAATTTTTTGGCCAAAAATTAGCTTGCCAGTGTCTGGGTCTAGGCTTCCCCCATGAGCGTAGAACCAATTCTTCGCGCGTTGAGGCCAGTTCTTCTCTATTGTTTCAGGTATGATTCCCTTAACAGTAATATCTGCTTCTAGGTTCTGCCACTTGGGAATAGCACTCCTATAACCACCTGATCCCATGCGATGATGGTATTGCTTCTGTCGGGCATTCTACCGATTCCTCATCACACGTTCATCACTCTCTTGAGATGTCTTGTATTGTACGAAGTTATCCCAATGGGACTCCAACTTGACAAACGCCTTAGCATTGAAATCCGGCGTTTCATTCTTCAAG